CATCCAGAGGACCTAATGCTTCCAGTGTTTGGGACCAGTCAACAGATCATCGTAGAGTATGCGACCACTGCTGTCCCTTGCAATGGTGAGCTGGTAAAGACCCGGTATCAGAATGATACAGAGTTAATGTGGCCCTGGAGGTAGACATGTTGCATAAGCAAACTGCCCAGGCACTCTCTCCTACTGGATAAGAGGGCAGACACACTGGCTAAACTAATGGCCGCCTGCTGATTAGGTGCAAGAAACAGGGCTTGTGTACCAACAGCTGGGTAGGATCACCATCTAAATGTTCACAAACATACTGTTATTCTGGAAGGCCAGTCTGCCTCCTGAATATGGCAGTGTTTGTGTTGAATGGAGATACACTAATAATTATATCCCTGTTTCTCTTAAAGTTCTTAAAAGCTGGAATCTATCTCTGCAAATTTCTTGGTATCTTCTATTTATTTATGGATCAAAGATTCAATGCAGGTCTATTGTTACAGAATACAAAAATTTCAATTCTTAAATGACAGAACAAAATTTTGTCAGTTAAAAAAATAATAATCTAAGGGTGTTAAAGAGTTTGTTCGCTGGGTGTCGGGTGTGTGTGTGTCTTCTCTGTGTCTTCTGTGTGTCTTCTCCGTCTTCTCCGTTTTCTTCCACCATTTTGGTTTTTGGGAATAAACGTGTTTCTACGGAAGGATAAAAAAAAAAAAAAAAAAAGAGTTTGTTCATGGTTAAGAGTGTATGCTGTTCTTCCAGAGGACCCAGCTCCAGAGGACCTCAAACTCTTTTCTGCCTTCAACAGGCATCTGTACTCACCTGCTTGTACCTCACACATACACAAAATTTAATAAAATGCAACAAAAATTAAAATACAAAGTAACTTCAAAAACTAACTTCTGGTTGGAATAGCAACCAGAGGCAAGGTACATCAGTGGTGTCAGAGACCTCACGGCCCATACTCAGAGCCACTGCCCTAATTGCTTCATGTTTAACAACCCATTGCTCTAACAAACAAAAGCCCGGAAAATATTTTTGGAAATGTATTTATAATAGTGCTACTAGGGTCATCCTGGAGGCTGTTCATTCTTCAGTGTCCCGTCCCTAGCCCCACTCACTGCCCCATGTCAATGGTTCTGGTGTTAAAAGGACAGGTTGTAAGCTGGCAGTTGTATTGATCAGATCATGATGGTGCTAAACTTCATCAGATGACTCATCTATTAGTTCTTATTGATTCAGCTGTTAATGAAGAAGTGGTTAATGGGGATGTGCCCTTCTGATTGATTGTTTTTTGGGGTTTTTGTTGTTGTTGTTGATGGTTTTGTTTTGTTTGAAATAGGATTTCTCTGTGTGGCCCTGGCTATCCTGGAAATCACTCTGTAGACCAGGCAGGACTTGGATTCAGAGATCTGCCTGCCTGGAGAGTGCCTCTGAGTGCTGCCAATTAGCAGGTTTTGATCATAAAGATAGGATATCATTGTGGGGCTCAGGCCAGCCTTGAATTTAGCTGTGCTGTAGTTACTGGGACACAATGCTTTTCAAGACCATATCCTGTCCTCAAACCTTTGTCTGCCTCCTGACAGAATGAGCAGTCTCTTCTGACACATGCTCCAGCAAGCACAATGTTTTCTCTCACCACAGTCCTGCAGTGAGAAAAGCAGTCCAGTGGCCCTGGGCTGACTCCCCCCGAAACTATGAGTCAAGTAAGTATGTCTCCTTTACACTGATTTGCTTCACATTTTATCAGTGATTAAAGCAGACTAACGAGAGACTTTTCTATCTTTGTGTGGCATTTCTGTTGGCTCCTGTTGGAACACTGCTACTGCCCCTGTCAAGGAGTTCTCCTATCTATGTTCTAAGCTGGGCTGCACTCAGTGGATAAGTACTCCCAAAGCAGTCATCTTTCTCAGTGAGCAGCCATGCTACCTGGTTGTTAATTTTCAGACATCAATTCATGTCACCAGGCCCTGGAAAAATTCCTATAGGCCAAACCCGTCTCTTCACACTGGGCCAGATTTTATTGGTAACAAATTCCACCTGTCTCCCATTAGCTGCTGCAGAATGCTGATGTTAAGTCATTTGGGGTTTTGGTTTTGGGAGTTTCTATTTGTCTGTCTGTCTGTCTTGCAGTACTGGCTGGGGATTGCACCCAGGGCCTTGTGCATGCTACACTATCAGTGAATTACAACCCCAGCTCCCAGCTGGGTAATTTCTAATGACTAGCCTTTGACGTTATTGATCTAACTGATGTTAAACCTCCAAGGAATCCTTTCCACATTATTTTTGAGATCTAGAATGTATATTTCTTTTAAAACAGTCGTTTTATTGCTTTCTATATTTTTTCACATTCGCTCTCCCTCCTCCAACTCCTCCTAGATCCACCACCTGCCCATCCTGCTTGCCTTCCCCTCCCCTCACCAAGCCCAATTTGTGTTGCCCAAATACTCTTGGGTGTAGAGCCTGCTCTGGAGGATGGTCACCCTAGCAGGTCACACCATTAAAGTAAACTGTCTCTTCCTTTCCCAACAGCTATCAAATGCCAACAGCTCCTCCTCTAAGGGTGGGACTCCAGAGCCACTCATCATGCTGGGATTTTGTCTGGCTTGAACCACTGAATTCTTTATACTCTATGTTTATGATAAAATCTATATTTTGTCTTTCTCCTGAATTGTAATCACAAAATAATAATAATAATTAATAATAATAAATTTTCAAAGCCTTGTATGACGATGCAAGGCAGATCTGTCACTGTCAAGGACTTTGTCCTTTCTCAGTAAGCACCACACCTTCATGCTTTTCTCAGTATAATTTTTCCTTTGTAATTGTACATTGAACTTTTTTTTTCAAAGAGAAAGAATTTTTTTTCTTCTAAACATGGATACGTCATGTCATTTCTTATGGAGTTGGAGTAGGAGGCTGTAAAATTTCAATAGGATTTACAGTGGGTCAGAGTTGGGTTACAGTTTAAGCTGTTCCAGGCACTGCTTATAAAAGCAGGATTAATCTCATGTGTTGCTGGGGTGGCCTTCTAGCTTCTACATATGCTAGAATGCATTCGCTCACTTCCTTATGAACTTCAAACAACTGGGTTTGTGGCAGAGGCAATGCCACATGTTCAACTTATCTACTTCCTCTTGCAGCCCTAGACAAATTAAAAAGAGAGAAGAAAGAAGAAAATAGAACATGTTCCTCCCATGCTGTCGTGTGGCTGAGTGAAAGCCAGCAGAACATGAGGAGAAGCCCACCCTCCTCTGTCCATGTCTTCCTGTCCCCTTGGTTACTTTGGGAGCCACAAGATAAAGGCAGTAGCACTAAAAAAATGAAATGGAGGGCAAGAGAGAGATGGCTCAGTGGTTAAGAGCACTTGGCTGTTCTTCCAGAGGACTGGGGTTCAATTCCCAGCACCCATATGGCAACTCATAACTGTACGTATTTCTGTTCCAGGGGATCCAACACCTTCATACAGATGTGCATGCAGGCAAAACACCAGTGTACATAAAAATAAATAAATGTTTTAAATTAAAAAAAAAGGACATGGCTCTGTCTCCTGGGAGTTTTAAGTATAAGCTAGCAGTATGCTTTGACGCTGTGAACCTTCCAGTTAGCATAGCCTTACACACACGGGATCGGACTGAATGAATGGATTGTCTCAAGGGTGAAATAACTTTCTCTTAAGGAATTCCAAGGAAGGGTTATAGATTCATGCTGGGTGTAATGGCACACACTGGCGATCCCAGCACTAGAGTGGCTGAAGCAGCAGGCAGTAGGTGTATGAGACAAAGGCCAGCCCGAGGCTGGGCTGAACTGACTAAAATATCAGTGGAGAGAAGTACTGCCTTTGAAAGATTTTGGTATCAACTTGACCAAACACTTCAATAATTTTTATATTAATTATATTTTGAAATAATAATTTAGATATATTGGTTCAATTTATTATTAACATGAATTCTCCTTTTTTAATGAAGCTACTAGAAAACTTAAGAATACACTTGGGACACTGCTGGCTTGTCTACAGTAGACTAGCAAAGGAGAGACAGAATGAAGACAGGCAAACATGGACTTGGACCCTGTCACCTTTGCTTATGAGCTCTGTGGGCTTGACAAGTGACTTAATCAGCCTCATGAGGATACCATGGATGAAATAACGGACTGTGGTGCTTGATGTATAGGAAGCGTCTAATGCCTGCTTGGATATCTTCCCCTAAGAACAAGAAGAGGTCACTCATAGTACCCAGCACATATGCTTACGTACATATTAAGTGAAGTCCACACTGGAGTAAGAAATTATTAGAATAGTTCAAAACGTCATAATACCTTGGTACTGTAGACACGACTCAGAGGTTAAATGCACTTACTGCTCTTCCAGAGGATTCTAGTTCTGTTCCCAGCACCCACAGCAGGGGGTTTACAGTCACCTGTCCCTCTAGCTCCAGGAGATCTGACACCCTCTCTGACCTTTGTGGGCACCAGAGAAAATCAGGGCAAAAAAGCACATGCAGTCGCAGACACACACACATGTAAGGTGCAAAAGAGGACCTCGCCCTAAGATAGCGACAGCTGCCCGAACGCTGTAAACAAGTCCATATTTGGCATTTAGGCTGTGCTGGCCAGTGGTCTGACATGACGTGCCATGACGAGACCTATGGAGAGCCACCACGTGGAGTGTTTGCTGTAGATGTCTGCAGGGAATATAAGCCGTGCCCGGGATGGGATGGGGCCATCTTCCAGCTATCTGTAGAGTGCTAAAGCTTCCTGAGTAAACTGCCTTGAGAAGGAACCTGGTGTCCTGCGTCTTCTTCCCGCTGGTTGGGGTCGGCACGGCACACACACACACACACACACACACACACACACACACATATATACACACACACACATATACACACACACACAATTAAAAAAAAACACCTTCTTTAAAAAATTAATAACTTTTCAAATGATCTCCTAAAACTCAGCACTATCATTGTCAAGTGCAGCGATGATATCTTAAGAAAAAATGACAGTTATTCACAATGTTATTCATATTCTCTAGGCTTTAATAAATCTTTGCATAGGTAAATACATTCATTTACAACCATCTAACGACATGGAAACAGACAAGGATAGAAATTCTGAATCTTTCCCAAATAACTACACTGAGAAAATCCTTAGTCAAAAGTTATCATTAGAAAGTCTGTAGCCTTTTAATGCACACCTAAAGAATCCATATCTTCACCTTCAAGGAGATCACTTTACAGAGCTGCCCATCGTAAACCCACACAGGCTTTAAAGCAACTTCAAAATCAGACCTGTCTCTAGATATACAGAATGTTCTCAAACCTGAGCTTAGGAATTAAGGCTGTTTCTAGTCATGTTATTATCAACGTGTCCAGTAAATTAACACACCTGGGAAAGGCTTATTTCTCACAGAATTGTTTTGGTAATTAACATATTCTAATATCTGATAGAAAGGTAGGCGTGGAGATGTATTTACTTATGTCATGAGCTCTCAGTCATCCGAACTAACCACAGGGACATTAGGACAGGTGACCCTCATGGACCCTGAGCTTGTCTGGGAACCATGGTCTTGCGTCTGACACCCTTGTGGAAGGTGGGTCCTCAGGGTCTTCTCAAGGACTCTCTTTGCAGCCTTTCTCACTGCCCAGGCTACACTAACAAAAACACTGCAGTCTCTCAGCAGGGCCAGGAGCTGGTCGGAGATGAGAAGGGGTGTTCTGCGGAGTGTTTGGGACTCACAACCTGGCAATGAGTGCCTTACTCTATGGGATGTGACAGGGACAGAAGACGATTCCGCTCTAAGGCTGTGCAAGGCTGTAAACAGCAGTGAGCTTTCACAGAGGTGGTAAGAGTTCAGGTGTACAAAAGAACAAAGCTAACGGAGGCCTGGAATAAAAGTCCTGAGAAGATTTTTCTCTAGGCAACAAAGTAGTGTTTCTATTTAGTAAACATTCAGTTATGCCTAAGTTGTGTTGATCTTTACTGTTTAAGAGATTTTAACAAAATAGTCAAGAAAGAACTGTAGGCATTTAGTGTGATCAAGTTATGCTCTATTAATTTATTACTGGGGGGATCTTCCATTAGCTCCCTACAGACCAGTGAGGGATTTCTCAGTAGCAGGTACAGCAGCTTTTAAACAGAATTCGTAAAGAGAATAATCACAAGAGAAAACATAAATATCCACAGTAAGTGAAACAAAACACTCTAGTGTGAAGTTTATCCTAATTTATACTAATATACTCCCATGAGTTTGTTATTAAACTAAAATCACCTTATTCTAAGCACACTATAAATCATCATAAAAGATTCTGGCCCTTAAAAATCATGAAAACTTTAAGATCTTATTATTAAAGTTAAAAATTCTAGCTGTGTTACTGAGTGACTTTGGTCTGTATTTTCTGGACTTCTTCAGGCCATGAGTAACAATCAGGTAGGATCTGGTCATAATTAGTGCTGTACATCTGAGAGGAGACAAATTCTTCTTTGTTTTGGGGTTCGGGATAAACAGTGGCCGTCTTTTCTTTGTATGCATCTTGTACAATCTAAAAATAAGGAAAGCAAGTCATTATTTTCAAAATGAGAAGGTGATACTGAACACAAATCAAATTTTTACCCATTTCAAAAGTTAATTTATAATTTGTACTAGAGAAAAAGCCTCGTTCATGAACAACGAAATTGAAAATGCAGCTGTGAATCAGATGTAGCAAGAGGACATGACACCAGCAACAGGGAAAGCTCAGGAGCAGAGACTTACGTGTGAGTGTGAACATTGTCACTTTCCTCAGAGACAATGACAGTCTTCAAAGTTTTGACAGGCCTAACTGCTAATCAGCGTGGACTGAGTATCGGAGTCTCGCTGCGAGCTGCGAGCGCTCTTCCATCTTCCAGACTCAGTACCAAAGTGTCCTCTGCCCTCACTTTCCTTCCCACATTCAGATTCTGGGAACTGGAACCATGCCTACCGCTCCACCATCAACAGATGCACAGAGCAAGCACATCTGTCTACCTATCTAGGCTTTCCTATGTTTCCGTCACCTCCGTCTCCACGGCAGAATTAGACATCTGTATGCTGCCAGGTACCTCACACCTGCGACCCCTTAGAGCAGCGTCCTTCCTGACACTGCTCTTCATCCTGAGCCCCCAGTGTCTGTGCAGGCAACAGCGCAACATTCTAAGTAGTGCAGATTCTGGAGTCCACGGTCTTTATTTCCTCTACTGCCCCTTGCCTTCTCACTTTCTCTTCTATGTGTTAATTCATTTTCATTTAAATTGTCAAAATATGCTTAAAATAGTGTGTTGTTCAGTGCATAAGTAATGAAAACTAAAAACTGGCCGGTATAGATTGGGATATAATATCAGGATGTTTTTTCCAAAGTACTGATTTTGAAGAATATACCTTCAATCAACAAGACAAACATCAACATGTGAATCTTAAATGGTGCCGCTTCGATAATCTTGGAATAGTGTAAACTACGGATATTTAAAGCAGGCAGTTTAGTGTACAAGACCTATCACACTATCTGTCCACCTTTGACTGGTGAAACTGTGCAGGCGCTACTGACCTCTTGTGGCCTGAGGCTGCAACTGCCAACAGCACACTGCTGCCCAAACATAAAATGCCCAAGAGCAGAGACCCTGACCAACCCGTTTAACCAAAACTGTTAGGGTCAAGTTTGTGTTCCCCCACATATAATCATATATGCTGGTGCGCTCACCAGTAGAAGTTAAAATATGGCTTTTAGGACGGTCCTAATCCATGTCACATCTGAACAACAAAGACACCAAGGACAAGAAGGCATACATATACAGAAAAAAACTCTACGGACACAAGAAAGCAGCCCCAAGCCAAGGACACAGGCCTGAGGAGAAAGCAAAGTTACTGACATCCTGACCTTGGTGTACAGCAGCCACAATATTAAAAAAAAATTCTGTGTCACTGAAACCAACTAGAAAGAGGTACTTGGTTACAGCAACTGTGATAGACTAATACAACAAGACCATTACCAGGAACCAGCCAGACACAGCTCAGCTGTGTTAGAGAAAGCTTCTCTGCCTTCTGGTGCTCATCTGTCCCTGTTGCTGTCAGTCCTGGGTTAGGCAGCTAAGACGTAAGCAGGCTTGAAGGTCATTCCCTACAGTCACCATCAGCTTTAGCCCCACCCTCTCCATCCCTGGTAAAGAGGGACCAGCACCCTCTTTAGAATCTGAAATACCACATGGCGGTTTGAATGAAAGTAGCCCTGTGGGCTGCTCAGATGTTTAAATATTTAGTTCCAAGTTGGTACAACTGTGTGGGAAGGATTAAGAAATATGGCATTGTTACAGGAGAAGGTCCAGTGGGGAAGACTTTGAGTTTCCAAAGACTCTGTGTCCTGCTTGTATATAGCTGCCTTAGTAATAGTGTGTAGTCACAGAAAAAAAAAGTGACTAATATACCATAGTAAATTAGTAGCCCTCTACAAATGGCTGAGTCAGGGACTAAAAACATCTTTTTGATAAAGATGCAGACAAGGCCAAGACCTCCTGTGCTGGTTAGCTTTTTGTCAACTTGACACAAGCTAGAGTCACCTGAGAGAGAACCTCCCTCGAGAAAATGTCTCCATAAGATCCAGCTGTAGGAAGACCTGTAAGGCATTTTCTTAATTCACTAAGTGGTGGGGGACGGCCCAGTCCATTGTGGACGGTGTCAGTCCTGGGCTGGTGGTACTGGGTTCCCAGTAAGAAAGCAGACAGAGCAACCCATGGGGAGCATCAGCCCTCCACAATCTCTGCATCAGCTCTTGCCTCCCGTCTCCTGCCTTAGCTTCCCTCAATGGACTGTGACTTGGGATATGTAAACCAAGTAAACCCTTTCCTCCCCAAGTTGGTTTTGGTCATGGTCTTCCTTCACAGTGACAATGACTCTAAGATGCTTCCTGTCTCTATGTTTATATGTAAGTCTGTGTCTATAGCTACACATCCTATTTTATAACCTCGAGAAAACAGTTTCATGCTAGAGATTTGGCTCAGCAGTTAAGAGAATGCACTGTTCTTCCACAGGATTTGAGTTTGGTTCCTAACACCAGTGTCAGATGGCTCATGACCCCTGGTTAATCCAGATCTGATGCCCATAAGCACCAGCACTGAAGTGAACACACATACAGGTACTCAATTTTAAAAGTAAATATAAAAATAAATCTTAAAAGAAAAAAACAAAACTTGACATGAAGCCAGGAAGTGCAAAGAAGCAGGGCACAGCTGAAGAACGCCCAGTGAGAAGACCTGAGGCTGGCGGTCCTGCAGTGCAGTGTGCACTCACCCCACAGCCCCTCCTTCCCTGTAGCTACCAGCTACCTGTAGGAACCACTGCTCAGCTGCCCACCCTCTGAGTTCTGACTGGACAGTGGACTCTTTCCTTTTCCTTTTTTTCTATCTCCTTATAAACTAGCCCTGACACTCAGGGTAAGAGGTTCGAAACCTGTGGGTCAAGCCTTTAGAAAACACACACTTGAGATGGCCTTAGGCACTGAGACGCTGCTCCTCTACAACACTCCAGTTAGGAAGTAGAAACAGAAATAACTTTATGGTTGGGGTCATCACAACATAAGGAACTGTATTAAAGGGCTACAGCATCAGGAAGGCTGAGAACCACTGCTCTGCTCTAGCATGTCCTCCCTCCCCTCCCCACCTCTCTCAGTTCCCTTCCAATACACCATAAATTGTTCACCAACTGCTGTGTTTGCCCGCTCCCTGAACCCCTAGCTCAGAAGGCACAGACTCCTCTCTACCCTTCACCCAATACCCTCATCCCAGGAGCCATTAAGATTCCCCACCCAGTTGTCTTTTCCTCAAACCCCAACGCCCCACGTCCCTTTTGATTCAGAGTGAATTCTTTTCTCTACAGGATTAAGAACTTGCCCAAGGGGCCCTGAGTCCCGACACTGTCTCCTTTGTCCCCAGTCTTTCAAGATGTTCTCAGTCATAGTCTGGGTTGTGGTGTTCGCAGGTGGCTCCAGGTGTAGCTGTCACTCTAGTCCGTCTATAGAAGCTACATAAGTAGCTCTACAGAACAACTACAATACAGTGAGCTGGGAGCAGCCTGACTAACGGAATGGAATACAAGTCACAGGAGAAAAATGCACAAAGAAATCTATAACTCGTCCCCAGGTGTCCATCTTCTGAGGATAAACTGCAGCTCCCCGGCAGTCCCTGTCACTGTGTCTGGTTTCCCTGAGTCCGAGAAAATGAACGTACATGCCAAGCAAGCACGTCAAATAGTAAAAACACATATTCAGCAGGAGAAGGAAGGCAGGGAAGTGACGAGGCTACACTGTCTCACCTTTACTGCGATTTTCAAGGAAACATCTCGGATGGTATCCAAAGGAGGATAGAGCCGGCCTTCTTCTAGGTGTTTATCTGACACTTGCTGAGATATCACCTTAAAGAGAAAAACGAATAAAAAGGTTTATACATCACGTGATTCACGGTGGCAATCATACAGACAACTAAAGCAACGGCCACATATGGAAACTATTACATGAAAATGGCCGTCTAGTATCATGGCCCTTTATCAACGGAAAAGCTGAGCTGCGGCAATCGCCGGGATCACACAGAGTGAGACAGAAAAGAGGATCCAGCTGTCTTTTTGGCTGAATGCCTTCACACGGAACAATTCCTGGAGAACCAGTGAAAAGAAAAGGGGGATAAAGAAGTCATGGAAAGGGACCCTGGAAATAGAGGAGGGTGGTTGGTCATGACACACCTGCTGTTAGTCTCCACTCCAAAGCCACACAGGGAGCACAGCAGAGGGCTAATAGAGCCTGCTCAGTCACACTCGCTAAAGACTTAAATTTTACCCAGACTCTTGGTTATCTGCTTACCTAACCAATCTCCCCATTAGCTCTCCCTATGCTACTCCCTAGCTCTGGACAGAGTTAACCAATTAAGTCACTGCACAAGGTAGGTCTAGGTCAGCACACAACTGAGCCTTGAAAAGAAAGGCTAGGCAGAGAGGAGACAGGAAACCTTCACTGGCGACACTTTGAGCAACCAGTTAGTTAGTCTCTGCTGCTCCCCTCTCTCCTTCCCTCCCTCCCTCCCCCAGACCAAACCTGTGGCTTTGTGCATACCACTCTCCCACTGAGCTACATATTCTGACAATATCTTAAATTTCTTTAATTGTGCTTATTTATTTTTTCATTATTTACCCAGATTACTATTATAAACACACAGGGAAAAAACAAGAAATATAAAATTTTGAGTGTGTCTTAACCTCTATGCATGTGACCTGGGATCAGGAAGCCTACTTCATTCTAGAGACTGAGCTGCCATTCTTTTTGAGTGAGGGGCTCACCAGGAAGCTCTGGATGGCTTGCAACTGGTTAGCTAAACCAGGCTGATGTTAAATTCAGAGATCCACCAGCCTCTGCTTCAGGCAGTTATTTCAAAGATATGTTTGGTTCTATCAGCATACCAATCAGACTGTGCACAGATACAGGCCCTCCTGGGAGATCTCCAGGTCAGTGAGGTAACAGCCCAGAACAAAAGGAGACACTGCCCACTGCAGGAAGCAGCCTAGATGCAGGAGAACTGAGTGCTAACCAAGCCACAGTGACAGGAGGCTAACAGATGGGGTGGGCTGTGGGACTGAGAAGAAACCAGGAGACAGGCAGGCAGGCTGGCAGGCTGGCAGGCACGCGCCCACGTGCACACACACACACACACACACACACACACACACGGAGGGAGGGAGGGAGGGAGGGAGGGAGGGAGGGAGGGAGGGAGGGAGGGAGGGAGGGACCGAGGGACCAAGGGAGGGAAGGAGGAAGAGAAAGACAGAGAAACACACACACTTTCACTCCCCCTCCCCCCTCTTCCCCTCTCTCCCTCTCTCCCTCTCCCCCTCTCTCCCTTTCTCCCTCTTCCCCTCTCTTTCCCCCTCTCCCCCCTCTCTTCCTCTTCCCCTCTCTCTCCCCCTCTTCCCCTCTCTCTCCCCCTCTTCCCCTCTCTCTCCCCTTCTCCCCCTCTCTTTTCCCCTCTCCCCCTCTCTTTCCCCCTCTTCCCCTTCCTCTCCCCCTCCCTCTCTGTCTCCCTCTCTGCTGACATCATGGAGACCCCCTTATGTGAACTGAAGACAAAGTGCCCTGAACCTGGGATTAAAGAGAAAAAGAGAATGGCATATTGTCAATACCAAACACTGGCACTATGGTGGCTGAGAACTTCTGCCCACGGACATCCAGGCAGAGGCAAGGTGGAGAGAAGTACTAATCCACAGCACAACTAATTCTGGATTAGTGCGACTGTTATATAAAATGATAGCCTAGGGTAGAGATTTGAATAAATGTTAAGTTAAGGTCCAGGTAACTGCTGCCTGTCTAGCCATTTGTGCTGTCACTAATGTTATAAGGAAATGTTCTCATGTGTTGTTACTGGGAAGCTTCCTCACGCCTGAGTTGACTGCATATTCTGTAATGTTCTGTGCTTTGGTGTTCTTGGAAACCAATCACAATTGAAGTCAGTGTTTAGTTAGCCACAGTAAGCTTAGACTTGAACCAACTGCCAAGCAGCACTTCCTGTACTTGTGTATGGGCTTTTATGGTTTTTGCTTTTATAAGCTGCCCCTGGGATGGACCCCAACATAAGAGAGATACTTGCACCAATATAAGAAGCTATTTGGAATAAGACTTCCATTTTGAGTAGGGTCAAGGTTTTATTTCTCAAGACATCTCTGGAAATTGGCATCCTATCTGGCAGAGTAAGACATGTGTGTAGGCAACTGACATCTGGTTGGCAAGTTAAGACACCAATATTAGGCATCAAGGCAAGTCTCCTGCCAGAGTCGAACACCCCAACCAATGGGAGCAGGATAAATGTACAACAGACACATGTTCCTAAAGAAATCCCCTATCCCTAAATCATGATTGGCAAAATAACTTGGCTTGTGAATTTCAAGGCTTTATTAAAAGCTCTGTAGGATCCTGGCTCATGGTTGCAGCCAGTTCCCCAGTCTGGTCCAAGGCCCCATCCATCAGTCTTGGCAAATGCTCAATAAACTATCCCTGTCTGACTGAGTTCGGTGTTCGTGTGGTTTATGAGGCAACTTCTGGACTCCAACAATAAGAATGATGCCGACAGACTCAAATACTTGCAGGTTTGGTCCTCAGTTGAAGAAGTGTTTGGAAGGATTGGAAAATGGAGACTTGCTGGAGGAGGTGTGTCAGTGGGAGTGGCTTTGAGGTTTCAAAAGCCCATGTCAGGCCTTGTGTCTCTGTCTGTCTCTGTGTGTCTGTATGTCTCTTTCTTTCTTCCCTCCCCCTCTCTCTTTTTTTCTTTCTCTCCCTCACCCTGTCTCTCTGCTTATCCAGCACCATGCCTACCTACACACTGTCATGCTCCCTGCCATTATGTAATGGGCTAACCCTCTGAAACTGTCAGCAAGCTCCCAATTCTATTCTTTCTTTTATAAGAGTTGCCTTGATCACGATGTCTCTTCACAGCAACAGAACACTAAGACACCTAGACTTAGAGACTATTGGTCCTGATTATATAATAAACTCATTGATTTTCTTGCTTTTGTGACATAGTAGTAAACACAATCTTTCCTTTGCCCCAGAGAAAGTAATCAGGTTTCTAAACTTTAAACATGGAGACATTAAATGTTTACTACCGAAGTGGGTGTGCCATTTCCCACATAACAGAGGGAGGAATCAGCCACTCAGATTGACAACAACTTCTTACCAGAGCTCAGGTAGGAACAGCTCACAGGTTGCTGGGTTTTCCTCATTTATGGATCTAAGGACTAGTGAGGAATGTCAGATAGTTCCTGCTCTACAGAAGAGACAAGCATCGAGCTGGGTGTCCTGGTACACACCTTTAATCCCTACACTCGGGAGTCAGAGGCAGACAACCTGTGAGAACTTGAAGCTAGTCTGGTCTCCACAGTGAGTTTCAGGCCTGTCAGCTACCCATTGAGACTCTGCCTCAAACAACAGCAATAATTACCTTGGGGCTGAAGAGATGGTTCTGTGATTAAGAACACTGGCTGCTCTTTGAGAGGCCCCGAGTTGGATTCCTAACACCTACCTGGCAGCTCACAACTGTCTGTGACTCCAGTTCCAGGGTATCTGATGCACTCTTTTGGTCCATGAGCATAAGGTACATACTTATCATACATGCAAGGAAAACACTCAAACACAGGGGAGAAAAACTGAAATCACTGAGAACATAGGTACTGTCCCAAATAGGAGAAAAACAATGGGATTGCTGGCTCTTTCTAGTGAGGAACACCTGACACACTATGTAAAAAGCAGAGCTGTCAGGCTGTTTTGCACACAATGGTGCAACTCTATGTGATCTTTATTCTACATTCATGTCTCAAATGAAAGTATTGGATAGACAGAACTTGGCCCTGTTGTGTTATTATGAAATTTTCAAATATTTGAAGAGAGCAAAAGGTTCCTGACCATACGTCAAGTCAGACGCATGCCAGCACAAACTTGACTCTGGTGGTCTGCTGTGTACTGAACAGCCAAGGATACTGACTTGAGCTGCATTGCTAGGTATTACCCAGAGTCCAAAAGACCATTTCCATCGCCAGAGAAGTTAACGATCTCTCTCTTCATAATTAAAATGAAGATTCAGGAAGAGAGGCTTGAAAGATGAGTACTTGCCAGGCAATGGTGGTGCATGCCTTTAATCCCAGCACTTGGGAGGCAGAGGCAGGCGGATTTCTGAGTTCGAGGCCAGCCTGGTCTACAGAGTGAGTTCCAGGACAGCCAGGACTATACAGAGAAACCCTGTCTCAAAAAACCAAAACCAAAACCAAAACCAAAAGAAAGATGAGTTCTTTAACTAATATGCCTGTTGCCCAATCACAGGAGTCAGAACACAGATCCTTGGGCCTGCATAAAAGCCCGAGTGGCACAGCTCCGCAATCAGCCCTAGGAGGCAGAGACAGGAACATCTTTCACCCATACTGCTCTGTTCCTGGCTCCCTAGCCAACGAGTGAGCTCTGGACTCAGTGAGACAGCCAGTCTCAAAAGACAACCAGTGTTAATTTCTGACCTTCACACACCTTCATACACATGCATTCACCTTTGCATAAGTCCATACCCATGTACTACTCACACATAAGGCAAAAATAAATGTCAAGGAATCAAAAAGTAACCTTTCAGATTTAGTCCAATCAATGAGATTTCCAGTTTCATATGTGACCAAACTGGTATTTAAAATTTATATACATACATACATACATACATACATACATACACACACACACATATATACATACATACACACATATACACACACATATACACACATACACACATACACACATACACACACACATATATACACACATACACACACACATATATACACACA